TGACGATCACCTCATCAGTCCCAAGGAGTTTGTCCACTTGGCGGGCAAGTCGACCCTGAAGGATTGGAAGCGGGCGATCCGGATGAACGGGATCATGCTCCGGTTAGTCTCTTCGTGTGTATCCACAGAGCGACAGCGGGGACGTCTTTGGGGGTAGCGGTGGGGTGGAACGTAGCCTTTCGCTGCTGAGAGAGCAAATGTGCCACCCAGCGTCCGTGTTAAGCCTCGGCTGTGGTCTGTCCAACAGCTTTGCTTTATCCTTCTGCCTAGGGAATAATTTAGGGCAAGAAACGTTTCTCCCGGTCTTTTTAGGACTTGAACCACAGGGAGTTCCCAGCCGGCATAAGGTTGCTGACAGTTTTAATGACCACTGGGCTGCCTACGCGTTCTCAGCGTGACCTACCAAATGGAAGCCAAGCACATCCCTTCGTTTTTTTTGCTAAGAAAGCTTATTTATGCAAGCATTTCTCTCCTCTAGTCTTAACTACAGTAATTTAATTCTTCTACGATCTTGCTGAACACCAGCCTGAGACTGTGATTTAATTAAAGCCTGTCTCTGCCTGCCGGCAGGATAAAACCGTGTCACCTCTTTCCCCAGGACTTGCCAGTGGTTTCGTACTCTTGTCACAGGGTGACACTGCCTTTGCCGGGATTCTTCTGCTTCAGTGCAGGCGACTCCTGTGTTCCTTCTAAGCAGCTTTTGCTCCACGTAGATTTTTGCATAATAGGCTTATGCTTTGGCAAGGCAGGTCTTTCAAGGGAAAAAAAAGAGAAGCGTGAATCAAGCCCAGCAGCCCCTGGGAGCGAATCTTGGGAAGCTGAGGCTGTTGTTGGTCATCAAAACCTGGGGATGCTTTGGAGACCGCGTGCTCAGAGTGGGAAATCTTGTTTTAGTTTATAAATAGGGTTATGGCCCATCTTTTTTTGAGGTGTAGTCTAACAGGGAAGAAAGAGGCTTCCTGCTGTCTCAGCCTGAGCTGAGGATTCAGCTGACCCTTCTGCTGGAAGCTGCCGGCGTGCACGGGGGGAAGGTGCTGGTGGGACCAGGCTGGGACCTTCTTCTTCCTCCCCCAATGCACCAAGGGTTCGTCAGTCCCAGCGAGGGTTCCTAGTTAAAGTTACAGACACCCCGTGCAGCAGATCCTGCTCAGGGAGGTGGGACCAGCCCTGAAACCAACCTCTTTGGAGGCCAAGCCTTTCCCTGGGAGGTGGGGGAGCAGCAGGATGGGGCAGCTCTGCTGTGGGGGACCCCCGTGGACACGCTCGGGGTAGGTGCGTGTTGCACTTACGAAGGCAGGGGATGTCCTCAGCGCAGGTCAGGAGATCCCAGGGAGGAGGATCCTGTTTGGCATCAGGGGGCAGGAATAAAACTGCTGCCTGGGAGCATGGCCTGTGGTGTCGGGGAGCAGCTCTCCCGGCTTCGCTGCCGAAGGGAAGGACAGCGTTTGGGCTCTAAACGGTACGTTTTCCCTGAAGGCTTCTAGCCAGCAGATCTGCTGAGAGCAGTATGGTTTGTCCTGATGCTTCTCCTCAAGTTAGGTTTGATTTTACAGGGATGTGTCTCTTGCTCTTCTCAGCCCAAGTCAGGTGTTCCAGTGGTGAAGAAAAGGGCTGTCTTGGACTAGGGAAATCCATCCTCTCTGGGTTGGGCTTGGAGAGGAGCCTTTTCAGAGAGCTGGAGTCCTCCCCCTCCTCCCTTCTACAGGAGGATGCAGGATGTGGCAGGGAAGTGCTCAGAAACCAAGTCTGCTCCAGTCCTTTATGGCAGCTACAGCACAATGGGCTTTCTTCTCCCGCTCCCAGCCTCCTGCAAGGCTTTTCCGCCACTGGAGCGCTGTGTGGCTGTTGGATCTGTGTGCGTGGCCAGTACGGAGCAGGCTACGGATGCTGTTTTAATTAACTCTTGGTTAGTGCTGCCTCTAAGGTCAGGACACGGGGACTTGTCAAGGGAAATTCAGACTCGCATCCGCCTGCTCTCCTGGCTTTTGCGTTTCATCTGGGGTTTTGAGAAGTTTGGGGGTGAAACCTGCCAGGAGCTGCGTCTCTGAGCTCTCTGCTCCCACTGATGTGCCTGTCCCTGTGCTTGCTCCCTGTTTTTCAGGAAGATCATGGACTCAGGAGAGCTGGATTTCTACCAGCACACGAAGGTCTGTTCCAACACCTGCCGGAGCACCAAAATCGACCTGACTGGAGCCAGGGTGTCCTTGACCAGTCAGACATCGACGGAGTACATCCCCCTCACTCCCGCTTCTGCGGATGGTACGTCCAGCCGTTCCTTGCACCCTAAACAGGGGCGTTGAGGCCTTAAAAAACAGCAAATGCCAGGGAACCAGAACACCTTACGGTTACTTCTTTTTGGCTTTGCGGGTCGTTTTATCCTCCGCTTTCTCTCCCTGCTCCAGTGCAGGATTCCCCATAGCACAGCTAGGCAGAGAGTCGTTAGAGCATCTCGGCAGGGATGGAATAACTCACTCAGTCGCTCTGTAACCCTGCATGACCCAAGAGCCGCCCTCCTGGCCTCTTGCCTTTCCCCAAACCGTAGCTGAAGCGGAAGACTGCAAAGAATCTGTAAGAAAACAGTGGTTGCTCGATGAAGTCACCTTCTGTCCTCGCTGCCGGTGGGGCACTGTGTCCATAGTGCTCATCCCGGGAGGCAGGGATCAACCTGCGCAGGGTGCCAGGGTAGGAGTCCCTCCTCCCCTTGGCTCTGACCTGACTTCTTCTGGGATAATTCAAGAATTTTCATTCCAGACTCCTGGGCTGAGTTATTATAGGGTTTGTGTGATGAAATATTAACAGTAACCAGAGGATACAGCAGATATTTTATCTGTGTTCATACATGTAGCTTAAAACTGGATCTAAATGATGTTGTGGCCCCATAGCTGTAGCCCATAACTTAATTTGGCCTATAATTACAGGCAACTTTGTTATTAGAAAGCTTTCTAAGTACTTCTGTATTTCTTAACTCTTCTGAGAGTTAAGAACACCCTACCCAGCCCCCCACAGAACCCCACACCCCGAGCTCCTGACGGTATCTGTGGGAGCAGAGCAAGGACAGGGCAAGCCTTCGACAGCACAGCCTGCCATCGTGGTGCGGAAGCTGATGCCTGGTGCAGCTTTCCTTGGCTCCAGAGCCTTCACATTAAACGTGGATTTTGGCCCACTAACGGGGAGACAATTCCCGTGCTGCTGGGCTGTGCTGCAATAAAGAGCCCCGAAGGCTGCAGAGTAATTGCATTTAGTGGCAGCGGCTGAGCGTTACAAACACTCCGTGCGGTGCTGGGGTCCCCGGCCAGATTCCCATTCATCCCGCTCCTGCGTGTCGAGTGATGCCGTTTCCCCCAGCTCCATGGCAGGAAAACTGCTGAGATTCGGCAGAGCAGGAGGGAGGGAGCCCCCCTGCACTGCTGTGCAGCCTTGGGGAGGGGATGCTCTCCCCTTTGAGGTTTTAGAAACCCTCCAGACATCCCAGATTTAGAGGGAATCTTTTTGGGAATCTCCAGACATCTCTCGAGATGTCTGGAGATTCCCAAAAAGAATCCCTTTAAATCTGTTTGGCTTTTGCTCTAAGCCATACTAGTGGGGAGAGCAGGAGGGAGACGCTGCTCTTGGGCACGTGTTTTTGTGCAAGAGTTGCAGAAGTAATCCCCGGGAGGATTGCACTCCCATGTGGAAAAATCAGTCCTGCTGGCACAGCAGTGCCGGCCGCTCGGGCATCTCCGAGAGCTGCGTTCAGACGGGGGCAGTCCTGTGCGGTGCAAAGGAGGAGTCACAGAGCTGCAGCGAGAGAGCGCTTCCCTCGGAAACGGCCCCTGGAAAACACAGAGAAAAATCAGGGCTTGGGGTTTTTTTTTTTCTTTTCTTTTTTTTTTGCTATTGGTTGCAGTGAACGGATCACCGGCCACCATCACCATAGAAACGTGCGAGGATGCCAGCGATTGGAGCACCAGCGTCGGAGGTATGGCTTGGGATCCCACCGGGCTCGGCGTCTGGGGCCAGAGGACGGAGGGATGAGGAGCAGGGAGGCAGCTGGGACGAGGAGCAGGACTGTCTGCCCAGAGCAGCCCTGCTGGAGGCTCCCTGGGGTTATTCGTTTGCCGCCCAGGGCTGCCTGACATCCCGCCTGCGTGCGGTCTGGCCGTGCCGTCGCCTGGGGACGAAGCTGTTTCTAAGCCCCAAGATGCCGAAGCGTAGGCCAAATGCTTGGTGTGCCTCTGGGGGGGGTGGAATTCGGGGTCATAAAGGGGTTCTTGCTCCTCTGGTGTACTCTGGGCAAGGGGGTTTTCCGTAGCGTCGGTGTCATCTCTGTGGGTGGTGGAGGATGGGAAAGTGTGTCCTGTGCCCCAGCACCCGGAATCTACACCCTAGGACGTTGCAGGGGCCAGGAGGGGAACCCAGAGCACCAAAAAACCCCCCTCTGTGGATTTTGAGGTTCTCCCTTGCTTCCTCTTTCTCCAGACGACACCTTTGCTTTCTGGAGAGGCCTGAAGGATACAGGTCTCCTGGAGGAAGTCATCCATGAGTTCCACCAGGAGCTAATGGAGACCATGAAGGGCTTGCAGCAGCGAGCACAGGATCCCATGCTGCAGCTCGGGGGTAAGGACACGCTGAGGCACCTCGGGAGAGGAGCTTGTGGATCTTCATCTCCTTGGGCTGTCCGGGTGGCACTGTAGGGACACAGTTCCTCCCAAGTTAATCTCCTTTCTGCCTGCTCCCCAGGCAGGTGCTCGGCAGTGCTCAGGGACGCTTCGAGTGGCTTCAATTCCCCAATTCCCTCTGCCTTGGGGTTTCCTGTCTGCTGGCTCTGGACAAACGCTTGGCTTGGGAGCTGAGGTGGAATTTAGGCCATGAAATAATGCAGCAGCCAGCTACTCTGCTAGCAGATTCCTTATCGCCCCGGCTGAGCAGATACACTAGTGACCTCTTGCACTTTCTCATGACTTTTCCCATCCTCTCCTCCTCCCTGGCCTGTTCCGTTCCCCTCCCGCAGATTTTGGCCCTCTCAGCTGCATGTGTTTGCTCTGGTATGGCTCTTCGAGGTGTAAATACTTCGGAAATCTTGCTTTCCTCAAAGATCTGTGTCTTGTTTTCAAGATGCTGTTTTACTCAACAACGTAGTCCAGAACTTTGGAATGCTGGATCTGGTCAAGAAGGTCCTGGCCAGCCACAAGTGCCAGATGGATCGCTCGAGGGAGCAGTACACGCGGGATTTGGCAGGTATGACCCCGGGACACGCCGCTGTGCCGGCACTCCTCGTCACCCTTTGCTTCCTGCCTCAGAAAGGGCC